TCTGTTTGTTGGGATAGAGATTAACTGCTTTCTACTGGCATAACAATTGGCTCCATTTTTTTTCATAAGCAAGGGCAAGTACGAAGAATGCTTAACGTGGTCTCGCGTAATCGCATTTTTTTGCTTACGCATGGGTGGCGAATTCCAACTCTGATTTTTTATGTCCTCAAACTGCACCGTTCCACCGCGAACTCGGACTCGGAGGCTTTCCCGAACCTCTCCATCAAACAGATATGTTGACCGAATTCGTGTTTAAATTTTAACAAGTAAATTCAATTAAAAGGGTTGGTTACTGTGACTAGGTCATCCATTTTCTGGATTTGGGCGAATCCCATGAGTTGCGATCTTATGGGTGAAGAAAGGTTGATGCTAATGCAGGCTGATATGAGTGTGACTTATCTGTCAAGAAGCGAAAGCTTCGAGTGCGAGAAAAGAGTGAATAAGCAGCAAATTCAGTGGTGCGTCATTCACGAGCAGTGATTCGATGTTTTGGAACCCGATGTTGAGGTTCGAAGCTCATTCGATGACAGCGAGGAATTGCATTGATGCATTTAGCGGGAGATGGCGAGGGAGAGGTGGCGAGGGTGATGAGGTGCCCTCTCGCATTCGCTCTTTCATTTGAATGTCCACCTCCAAAACCATGTTTTAGACTTTGTATAAAGGAAGGTTGAAATATCAAAGGAAAACAATTGTTTTTTACACCGTAGGAATGGTTCAGTAAAATTGCAATCACACCAACTACAAGCATAGGAAATAAATACGCAGTTTGGGAGAAGGCGAATTAAAAATACACAGCCGAAGACAAGGCGTGTGTGCATGTAAATAAGCAAAAAGGTGACTGAAAATAGAGGCAAGATAGCTGTTGGGGCAAGATGGTAGGCGGCGGAGAGGTGCAGCTGGCTGTGGAGTCCAAGGAGTGAGCTCTTGCTGACTCCAGCACAAAGTCATTTTTTGCTTTCCACTGTAATGTTAGGACCACAACAGCAAGCGGGTGCCTGCTCCATAGTCGACACACTCTAACAAGCCAGCAGCGGTGGTTGAGCCACAACTCAATGCATACTGCTAATTCCCATCGTTTCGCCACCTAACCCTGTGTTGACAAGAGCGACAAAAGTGAAAAATCGAATTTAATTTTTTAATGATTATCTACTGTTCTTAATGACTTCACTCTTGTTTCGCTTTCGAGGCTGTGTACCGTTTTTTTTCCGGAGTCGCTGACTTTTCCCCAGCCTAAGAGGGAAGACGAAGGAGCGGTTGATTGAATGCTGTCAAATCTAATTGTGCTGAATGGCTGCCCAAATGTCAGTTATCAGGACCATTTTGACTTTTGGACACGTAGAATGTGAGTTCGCGAAAAAAACGAATCTCATCTACTATAATTCAATAAGAGTAGAAACCTGTCCCAAACCGATCTCATGCCTTTTGCTTGCCTGAAGCAGAGAGCCAATTTGGTGGTCATCACGATACTTCTCAAATTTTGTTCTGCTAATTTGAACTGTTACGCATGGCAATTTCAATGGGATCCGCTTGATAAAATCACTGAGCAGCACTAACGTGCGACGCTAGACTCAATTTCAAGGAAATTATGCTAAAATATCCCTTACTACATTAATCCCTTATTGGGTCAATGTCTCAACGACTTTCCACGAATCACATCTCTTAAGCAGATCCCTCCCAGGACAAAATCAGCAGTACATTGTCCTAAAATGGATTTGAAATGTTGCAATTGAGCAGCTCCTCAGTTGCAATGACATTTTATGCCAAGTATGACTAAAGAAGGCTATGGCATACGACAGTCTTTCCTTTAACTCTCAGTTTTGGTAAGGAGGACCTTTGATGCCGACCTGTAGACCACGATTTATGCCCCAAGACCTTCTCTGTGTCCACGATACTTAATCCGAGCGTGGGTTATGACTTCATTTGCCTTTAGGAAACTCGTGCCCAGCTAGTATTCATGTACGTACTAGGAAATTGTCTTTAACTTTCTAAGTAAGGATTATTTGGTTCATTCTCTGTGAAATTATGACCGCAAAGGTCACTTGGACTACAAAAGCAAGTGTTGATATAGTGACGGTAGCATTTAAGCTTCTTTTAGGTCCCAGCATTTATTGGCTTAAAAAAGGAACTACTTTTCGAATTCACTTGTCAGAGATTAAAGAGATAATCATGTCTTCATGCCTAATTAAATGAGCATTTCGTTAAAATGTGCTGCTTTTGCTAACACACTCTGATACCTTATCCGGATCTTTTCAGTTTCAATTTTATAATTTAGACTTGAATTAAAGTATTTAAATGCAAAATTTATTTCTACTCTAAGTTGCTGCTTGTGTCTTTATTACTAGCAAAGTAGCTTAAGGTATGTTAGTTTTTCGGATTCAAAATCAAGTTTCCAAGCTTCCCGTGTATGACATTATCGTGGTAACTGTGGGACCATTAGTGTGCAGCACAAGGCTCTTTAGACCGATCAAATCCAAGAGTCATATCTATTGGAAGTCTCCTTCAATAATATTTTAAAATTAATCTCATAAACAAATACTTAAATTTAATACCTACTTGGATAGGTTCAGTAGGTAATCTTTTATTTATTCACCCACATACTAGAATGCGTAGAAATGAAGGCCTTTCGTTCACTCATACCAGTTTTAAGAGACAGAATGATTTATTTTTTGGCTACTATTAACATCTATACCCAAGTTTCCTTTTTTCTACCTTTAAACAAGTGATATTAATTTTTACCATAGCCTCCTAAATTCCGCGCTTTCGTACGTATGAGAATGTACAACCGCCACGATAATTACAAGCTAAGAAGGACTTTTACTGCAGTGAACATCACAACAAGTACAAGCAAATCAACTGTTGCACTAAATGACTTTAAATGAATCCTTCGCAGAATCTACAACAAACAAAAGCTACCAATTCGACACTCGCACACCATTACTGGTACTGACACCTTTACTTATTGGGGCAGTTTTCATTCCTAAACCTTGTTCATATTGTGTTAACGCTGATTAAACAAGTGTTCAAAAGAAACAATCTTTCGTTTCGACCCTGTCTCTCTGTATACTAATTTAAACTTTACCAAAAAATGTAGAAATAGGACTGTTTTTTCATAGGGTGTGAGCTTGGCTAAAACTAATGTTAATTGCTTATATGTTTGGTTCGGAGAATTTTCAAACCCATTAAAGCTGTCTCCATAAAAATTTGATTGGGCTTACCTTGAGACCTTAATATGGCCGAAGACCATTGAAATTTCCACTATAAAATTTAGAATAAGCTCATTAGTCGATTGTGTGGCTTTACCAAAAGTCAGTGCTTTGACTCGACCTTTGTCGATTCAAGGCTCCGTCGATTCGCAATTTGCAAAAGTGGATGGATTAAGTGCTTAACACATCGAAAATTCAAGAACTATCTTTTAAGCTCATCGAATCGTACGCTTGTCCATTCTTCCTCGATCAACAAGCAGTGCTTTTGCCTTCTTTATAGCTTTCCTTACCCTGGGCCGTAGTTACACACCACGTAGACCGCGTCGAACCCGCCGAAATTGCATCTGCTCACCCCACACCCGACATGTGTGGTGTCCGCCCATACGAGCTAAAGCATGCAGATAGAAG